TCGGGTTAACCCGATCACCAGCAGACGTATTTTGTCTTTTTTCAAACGTATTCATTAAGAAAAGATAGAAAACATTCAGCTGCTGATCGGGTTAATCAGATTATAGTTTCCGTAAACGGCTAAATAGAAAAGAGTCAAAAGAGATAATGCATACAACATGCAGAGCGCGCCCACGTCACCTACACTACTCTTGCTCAGTTTGGTCGTATCAAAGCTCGACTCGAAGCTAATCTCTGGCTAACGAATGTTGGGCGCTACGTCATCAATACTTGAATTTATTACAGATATTGCAATTTGCTGCTGCCTTTTGAATGCGCACTGTGTTTGACATAATTTATATGATTACTATCGATATTCGTATTGTTGATGGTTGACAAAGAGAGATGTAACACAAGCAAAATAAATTTCCGTGCTACGACAAATGACGCGTTAAACCGTTGCATTTTTTTTTATTGTAAAATATGGATGGATTAAATTAGGCGCTTTTGGCGCCCCGGTACTCCGGCGCCCTAAGCGGGCGCCTAGTTCGCAACCCCCTAGTTGCGGCCCTGATGTTGATGGATGTTTCCAGAACAGGAGGTTAAAAATTAGTTCTACTGTAGACCTGCTCTAAGGTTGTTATAGACAGAATATTCCCAATTTTAATAATAAATAAATAGGCCAGGGCAGATAAATTTTTTCGTAACATAAAATTTAACAGCAAATTATCGATGCAGTATTGTTAAGGATCATTTATAGATGCTAAAAACCAAAAATGCAACAGCTAATTACTTTTAGGGGATTTTATAAACAATATTTAGTGCAAAAATAGGGCTTTTTTTTGTGTCAATATAAGTTCAGTCAGTTCAGTGAAACAGTGCTGTGCTAATTAGTTTACAAGAGTCCCAACCCAATCAATCCTTAACAGAATGTTGTTGCAGTTCTTTTAGGTTATGCTTTATTTATGTAGGTATAGTTGCAATACTTTTGAATTAATGTTTTTCTTTTGTTGTTATTCCAGGTTTAGTAAGCTAATAGCGAATAAATAATAAACGATTTGAGTAAAAAATTCCTCTTTTATTTGGTTTGCAATATGTACTTAATTAGGTCTTCAAGAAGTATTATGGACGTTCTTTATGGCTCTAAGTTGTACGTCTTTAAGACGTATTATGGAGGTGACTTACGACTTGCCTATTATGTCTTCAAGACGTACTTGGCTCTAAAATCGACGTCTTACGAACGTACAGTATGTCATAACGTTACACCTTATGTACGTCTTTGGTATGTAATTAGGCCTATTCGGGTTTGGAAAAAGGACGTTTCTAGAACGGTTTAAAACAATCGTCCAGTTTATTGATCAACAAAATAACAACGACTCGACTATCACAAATTTCAATAATAAACTGTGCGATTCTTCTGGACCGTTCTAGAACCGTACTTTTTCCAAACCCGAATAGGCCTATTGTGTTTGTTGGGGACAAGCCTTTCAAGGGGGGCGGTATATGTTTGAACTCTCCATAAAACCTATGTTTGTTAATTTTAAAATCACATCTCATTTTGTTCATTTTTTGTTTTATGTATCATGGGAACAACAATTGTTATTATGATTGTCAATTTAGTCCACAGAACATATCACCTCTAGAAAAGTATCTGCAATGGCATGTACCGGTTATGAATTACGGCGCCCTCGTTGACTGAAAACCCAACTAATCGAGTATTCTTGAAAAAACATATATTTTTATTATTTTTGTATAATTTTTAATGTTCAACTGCATTTGGCTTGCTGACTCCTCTTAGCTCTTTTCGCCTCAGTTTTTTAAAAACTATGACTGGCAGGAAGTTTCCGATGTCGAACATAGTGCAAAAAGAGTTAGTAAGTTAGCAAGAGTCACGCAGTTATAGGTAGATCGCAAAGTAAATACGAATAATAAATACAAATATGAACGAAACGAAACAAACGAATAAATACAAAAAAATACGAACAAAAATTAGGTTTTTTTTCAACCAAAACTTTTTGAATTTTCACTTTACCGCGCGGTTCAACAACACAATTTAAAAATTCAAATTTTGACTTTTAAAATGACAAAATAAATGACAAAACCAACCAACACAAATCACTGTCCACGCCACAGATACCTGTAAATTTCTCTTATCTCCCGACAGTGTCGCCATCGTTGAATGAAAACCTAACTAAAAACCTTTGTCGCGATTCTTCCATTTGAGATATTTTTCTATAGGTGATATGTTCTGTGATTTAGTCAAAAAAAAATAAAAAAGCACAAAAATCATCTTCTCAAACAAATTATTTTATCAATTCAAGAATCAAAAAAATACGTATTGTAGAAACGCCTACACTACAACAGTGACAACACAACAACTTTGACAGTTTCCACATTTCACTGCTGCGCATGCTTACTCTAAAAAATTCTTTTTCCGAGGTGAAACTTCTGGAGTGAACTTACTCCACTCTGTATAGTCGAACGCTAAGGGAGTCGCCCCAAATACGCCAAAAAACAATACCCGAACGGCTAAAGTACGAATGGAGTCACTCGGAGTGCACAGAGTGAGCAAGCCGAACCCACCTCGTGCTGTGCTTGTGAGTTACTCGGAGTCGCTCGCAAATGTAAAAAAAAAGGTGGCTAGCAGCTCTAACTGCATTGCGTTCGATAACTTGGATTGAGTTCGGCTTTGCACGGAGCGGAACGGTATGAGCATGGATATCGTGACGTTATAGGCAGAGTGCGCCCCGAACAAGGTTATAGGCCGAACACGGATCGAAAAGAAAATATCCTTCAACCCTTGTCACAGTGGTCACTAATTTAAAAAAAAAATGTTTTGTCTTGATTTCAATTTTATTTTACTAGAAGATGAGTAGGTAAATTAGTAGTAAAGGTCCTGAAAAAAAAGTAGAAGAGAAATCGAGAAAAAAACCGAAAACGAATACCCAGAAACCCGTACAAACCGAATTAATTTTTTGCCAATTTTAAGCGATTGACCAGTCGGTCATCTTGACAGATAAGCAATGCATTTAACGTCAGTTAAGATCAGGTTCATTAGCCGGTTTCGGCCAAGAATCGTAAACACTACAGGATTGCTCAATCCCATAAGACATACGTTCATAAAAAATATCGAACATGGAGGAATGCGAGTGACGTGGAATGACGTCACGTGCCATCATCGCAGTGCTTGATAGGATTGTTTTTTATTATGACAGTGCATTTTTCTTGCATTTTCAAACGTGAAAAATAGTTAATTTCCTTTGTATCTTTGAAAACAGTATTTTTTAAAATTTAGCAGAGACTTCAAAAGTTTGTTTGCTTGGGTGGTTTGTTAATTATTATTAATTATTGTCATCTACCGTGTTTTTGAGATAGCACAAAGGCGAATTTGTTCGCTTGCTGCTTATCAGCCAGGTAATTTCAAAATAGGTACCCACATAAATATTACATTATGTGCATACATTTCTTTTTTTTTTAGTGCAACAGCAAGTACAGTTAGTACTTCACAAAGCCAAATAGTGATACCTACCTAATTTAGATTTTCATCATAATCATAATCCAGAAAAACACTGCAAGTTTCCCATATTTTCGATGCGTTTACTTGTTAACGCGCCAGTAAAGGATTTTATTTACATATTTATTTATTTATTTACTCTTCACAAACACTAATTTCTAGTAATTACATGCAAAGGCAAAGGAAACTTACAACTAAGTAACTACATAGTTATTTGATTCACAACAAAAAAACGATACAAATACTCGACTAGGACATCACTAGGAAACTATGTAGAATGCAATACACACGAATAAAAGAAAGCTATGTCCTGATGCAACAAATCCAGTATTACAAAACCACTAAAACCAGAAAATGTTTGGGGTTTCCGCGATTATTTTCAGCCATGAGTCTTTTATGCTTACACGCATTAAATGAAACTTTAAATTACACCTATAACACTTGATAAACTTCGAATTTTCGATAAAATAATTGTCAGCACAAAATGAACTATCATCCGTATCGGCGGCCATCTGAAAGTCAGGTATGTAGGTGACGTCACAGCACTTGTGAACAAATTTAGCCGATTGAGCAATCCTGTAGAGTTTACGATTCTTGGGTTTCGGCATTATCAAGTTATCTTTTTCGTTTATTTGCTCCAAAATTTTGACAGGCATGTGACTGGATCAGACAGTTCCAATTTACAAATCATCACGGACCTGTCAAAATTTCGGAGGAAATCGACGAAAAAGGCAACATGTATTTTTCCGACCAAATGTTTTTTTTTTTAATATTCGCTAAAAGCAATAGTTTGGTAGTCCTTTGGTGGTCTTTAGTATCTCACTTCTATCATTTGGTGGTAATTACTTTGGTAGTAATCAACAATTCAAAATTTTATATGAAGTTGGCCGACATACAGTCGTGAGCATTAAAAGTGGAATGACTGACAGGTCTTGTAGTTTTTCGCTATTTTTGGTAAATCAGTCTTTTTGGTACAACGTATTTTTTTGAAATATGACAATCCCTGTCATTGCCGACGGTGTAGCTGGTGAGCCCGTTTTACAATAGAAAAATCTAGTTTCCCATTTTTAATGCTCATTGCTCACGACTGTACTACATATAATGGATTTTATTGGGCAATTTATAGTCGAATTTAACGGAAATTGTTTAGTGGTCACGAATTTATCAAATTTCACGTTTGGTGGTCAATTATACCGGATATATCAACTAATTAGGATTTACATTATACGTTAATTCGCCACGCATGCGCAGATAAATAATACGACGCGACATCTCGCGGTCTCCGCTTATACTTATACTTAGAATATAAATTGTCCAATAATAGCTATTTATATAACAAGTAGGCATCTACATGAAGTAAGGCTTTTGTTGAATACATGCCCATTATTCGATCTTCTGGATGCACATATTTTGCCGGGACTGGCTCACTGCCTGTATTTGCCTGTATAATTAAGCAACCATTTAAATTTCAAGAACTTTATTGAATAAATCAAAAATCGAGAATGGTTGAGATAAAAAATATTGCACCTCACGTGAACGTGACTCTGTGACGCTTGACTTCAACATATTAATCAAAAAAAAAGGACTGGCTCCAGCCAACAGCTTGGCTGAGCACACAAACAATTAGGCGACGTTGGCCATACTTACAATTCACTGCCCTCTACGCCACTATAACTACAAATCTTACAATTAATATATTAATTGGCTTAACATTTCGCCCCTCTTGAAAGAATGGGCTTTCAAAACAACAACTTATTATTTCAAACAGATGAAACATGAAACAAATTTTACTTCTTTACAAAGATCAAAGAAACCACAAATGTAAAAAATAAATAAAATAAACATAACATTATAATTCTGAGAACAGCTTACACATTATCTTAAATCAAAGGAAAAGCACTAATTATTAGGTGTTTATATTTGGTCTAATCACTTTCGTCACAAATGTCTAAGGGTAACAAACACAGTTTTACCAGTGTATGCTTGAGAAAACCATTTTTAGTCTTTACACGTACTAGCCACTCGCACACAACCATCAGAGCCTGGATGCAGCTCGGCAATCCCCTGCCATTGGGACAAAAGGTCGCCACGTCCGAAAATACAATTCTTTTAATAATTTGCGGATTATTATTGCACAAATTCATGTGTGTTACTTCATCTTCATTGAGTTCATGAAGCAACAGGACTTTGTATGGATGCCATTTATTTAGTATTAAATACTTAAAATCGGATGATTGGCAGATTTGATTATACGAAGCACTATCGCGGTTCTTTTTATGGTAGTCTTCTTGAACTGCCAGGATAATATTCAGCTGTTTTACTTTCGATATCCTTGGCCCACCTTTTTTATAAATTTTAATTATCCCTGACATGACCCAAAACCCGATATTTTTTTTTTCTATTTTACTCACATTAAATTGAGATATTGGTTCTCTGCGAGGATACTTGTTATTAAAACTTTCACAAAACTCTTTCTGAGTGCGCATCCTATTCCCATAACCGATCATCATCAAAATCTCTATTCGGTCTCCTTCTCTTACACGTGCCATTTTGTAAATTTTAGTCTTATTGCAATCACTTTGTACACATGATATTATCATCAAAAAAACGGTCACTAAATTTTTTATTGATTTTATTCCAATCTTTACGTGCTCACTGTCTCTATGTCAGGAAGCCAAAAATGTTTTAAGATAATGACCATTCCGTTTCAAATCTTGAGAGGATTATTCAGTAACGCGTCGATTGCGATTCCGGATTTGCGGCCATGAGCGACAAGGAGACGAAAATCGGCTAATATGGCAAAAATGTTACTTCACCGGCGTCGCAAGTATAAAGCATACCCTTCAGGCTCCGGTATGACCTGCCGGCCAAAACGCACAGTTCTGATCTGAAGGCGGGATTAGAACCGCGTTTTCACCCTATACATTGGCGCCTGGACGCAACAAAATTTCGTCAGTCTTTTCCTAGAACAGGTGCTAACGTTGAAATTGCATCACGATCGACTGGTAATATTGATGTCTTTATTTTACAAAAGGTTTTGCTATTAAATCCTCAAGTCAATTCCCGCCCTACACAGGCAGTCCACGCGTTTAATTTTCCTTCCCTAGTTTGTTGACTTCTAGCAAGAAAAAGCTGCTCGAGTTTTTCAACAGTTTTCTCCTCAGAAGGCATGGCACCACCACGATTCAGAACATAAATTTTGTTGTGCTCTAAATCTAGTACGATCCAAACCCACTGACCTCTAAAAACATTATACGGTAACAACATCTAGTCTATGCCTTCCAAGGATTTGAGAAAGGGTTGAAATTTTGAATTGGCTTATAGTCTTGAAGTATTATTGAGTATAATCGAAGCAGAAATGATATTAACATAATATAAATTTGGAATATTTCGAAAAAAGCTGAAAGCAGTGAAGTCAATGACATAATCAGTGAGCCACCGATCCATGTTCAAGTAGGTTCAAAAAATCCAAGTGAACCTATTACCTCTGGAGAATTTTGCAGTGAAAATGGTTCAACCACTTCAACTTCCTTTAGGATAGTGGGCGTTTGGGAGTTTTCCGGTAATATTTCACTTGGACGAAAATAGAATAAGGATGGAGGTTTAAATATGATGGGTTGAGGGATTGATGGGGGAGCCGTTCGAAAGGAGGATGAGGCTGTTAATGATAGGGGTAGAAGCGGTGGTGGTTCTTTTCGGTTCATAGCATGCACGCTGAGGGGGCTCTGAATAGAGGATAATGTTTGAAATGGGAATGCCGGTGTGGATGAAAGGGGTAGAAGCGGTGGTGATTCTTTCCGGTTAATCGCATGCACGATGAGGGGCTTTTCAATGGAGGATAAAGTGTGGAAGGAGGATGCGGATACAGATCGTAGAGGTGGAGCATCCAATGGACTAGTAGCTTGCACGTTGAGGGGAGTTTGAATTGAGGATGAGGATGATGGATGTGGTTGATTTGTGTTGTCTGCTCGGGGGAATGGACTGTTTGCTGCATCATCAGCATCACGGTCCCAGAAATGGTAATTTTTATGTAAACCTTCTGTGAAATGGGCCGCTTGTCTACGGAAATCCTCTGCTGTGAAACGACCATCTGCTACTTTGGCCCAAGCTTGTCTTAATTGGGAGTGGAAGGCGATATTTTTTGAGGCGACTCTAAACACCGCTTTTCCTCTCTCCAGCTGGGCAAATTCCAGAATACTCGTATTTTGGATGCTTATCAGGGTATCTAAAATAATCGAAAATTAAACTAGGTACAAGTGATAATATAATTTGCATGCAATACAAAATCATTATAAATATAAGTAAAGCATAAATGATAAAGAAACATTAGTGACCCACCCATTAAATCCCATGATGTCTAACCAATTTGCTATTGAGCCTTCGATGATATGACTCCATGATGTTGTTCGTTCTGTGCCTCTGGTCAAAGATACTAAAACGTTGTGATGTAATCCGACTCATCCAGAAATTTTGCAGATAATTGAAGAGGTCTTTAAACAAATTTGCTAATTCGAGGTCCTAAAAAAGAAGATTAGAAAATCAATGAATAAAAACCTGCTACATTTTATGAAAAATGTAAAATAAAAATTATATATTATTATATCACGGAGCTACCTGTTGTAATGTCGGTAATATGTCCACAATCATGTCGGCAGGTAGAAGCGGCAATGCATAAAGCCCAATTTATAAACTCACAGTCGAGATTCCGTTTGCGTTTGCGTTTGCGTCTATGGGATTTCTGATATTAGTGCAGCGAAATAGGGTGAAAAATGTTTCATTTTTTTTTTGGGATAAAACCAGATTGAACCTTTATGATATCATTAGATGCGTCATTGGACATACGGAATTGCCGACTTTTGACTTTTTTTAACGGTACCGATTTTTTCTAGATCGAAAAATATGTAAAATTTGTGAAAATAATTGTTTCGTACTTTTTTACACATAACTCGCAATATCTCAGAAACTAATTGAGATAATTAAACAATTTTTTTTCAATCAATGGAGGAAACATGAGCGAACGTAACTGTGCTAATTTGGTTTCCTTGAAATACATAGTTTTTTCTGCATATTATGAGGAAACTCGCACAGGAGGCGCGTCAAGGGAGAAGGGTAGCGTGGCCAGAGATGTTTTCAACTTCAAGTACCGATAACTTGAACAGTAGGCATCGTATCGTACTGCGGTTTTTTTAAAAAACTTTCTTGAAGCCTAAGCTTTTATTCAAACGCAGATAGTATGGCAAAATTCCTTAAAATAAAAAAGTTTCTCGCTTACCGAAAAAAGTGCTGCAAAAAACTATCTGTCCGAGTTTCCTCCCAATATGCAGAAAAAACTATGTATTTCGAGGAAACCGAATTAGCACACTTACGTTCGTCCACATTTTCTCCACCGATTAAAAAAAAAAATGTTCAATTACCTCAATTAGTTTCCGAGATATTGCGAGTTATGTGTAAAAAGTACGAAACAATTATTTTCACAAATTTTACATAATTTTTGATTTAGAAATAATCGGTACCGTTAAAAAAATTGAAAACAGCCATTTCGGATGTCCAATAACGTATCTAATGATGTAATAAAGGTTTCATTTGGTTATACCTCAAAAAAAAAAATTCATGAAGGAAGCGACTTTTTCCTGCACTATATTCACTAATGGCGTTTCCGATTGGTAGATTCAGTGCGCACTGAGTGTATTTGCATCCTTTTAATTAGCCTGTAGAAGAAAAAGACAGAAATAGAAAAAATTGCACTAATTCCGCACTAGATCTACCAATCGGAAACGCCATAAGTAACGGCGTGCTAAACGCAAACGTTAACGCTCAACCGTGAGTTTATAAACTGGGCTTAATACTTTTGTGGCAAAAGTTGATTCAGTTCAAAACTCAACGTGAAGTGTTAGGCCCGATAAAGATTTGGCCTTTCCGGCAAGATCTGTCATCTTTCAGCATGTTGAATATTTTGAACTGCGCACGGCGGGGATTGCCTGTGTAGGGCGGGAACTGACTTGAGAATTATCGAAGACAGAGATAGTATTTAATAGCAAAAACCCGAAGAGAAGTAAATCTCTTCTCTTCGCTTGGGGTTATTATTTGATACTCTAACAGTTTCCCTACAATCGGAATTCTCTTTAGGAAGAACTCGAAAAGAGAATTATTTTGTACTACCCTTCTGTTTGATAAATTAGAGTTTTGACTCTATGTAGCTTCTAGCCACTGAAAAAAACTGAAAAAAGAAGAAATATGGCACGCTGGCGTAGTCATAACCATATTATTTTATTATTTGTTTGTTTTTTGTTTATTGGTTTTGTTTATTGATATGATATTCAGTCTATTCTCAGTTTGTGTTTTTTGATCGGCGAACAGTATTTGATTTTTGAATTGATTGAGCCGGTACTTGATTTTGATAGTAGATGGTATGATTACTAGAGGAGCGATCAGGACGGCGATTCTCGAATCGTGTGATCCCTGTTCTCATAGGAAAAGTACGCTAGGTTTCTATTAAAATCGACGACGTATTCTCGAAATTAGGGACCGTTCACTTCCTATGAAAGTTGAGAGAATTTTATTCTACTACTTTTTTTGAAGAGAACGTCTGTTCTCGGGAGAACCAAACGTCAAACATGCGCTTTATTTTGTCAATTGTGCAGTCATCATCCATGGTATTTTTTTGTTTCTTTTGCAAATCATTTATTTATTATCAGTAATAGCCAATTGGGTGCATTTGGATATTGTGTTCAAGTGGAAAATACTGGCCAATACGAAAACGTGGGAAACCATGAAAGCTGGGGTTATAGGAAGAATTCTTGTAAACTCTGTCTAACCAAAGTTGAACGTTGAAGGTCACTTACTCATCTTTGTAACCATAGGATTCACACGTTCGGACCTTTTTTGGTTTGATAAACACAGTGCGCGTGCAATAAAGATAGCAGCAAGAATCATGTCTGTGATATATTCGAGTAAGTGACCTTCAACGTTCAACTTTGGTTAGACAGACTTTACTGAATGATCTACTAGATGCAGAAGAAGAAGAAAGGCATATAAGGAGATTTTACAGAAGAGAAAATCCCTTTGATTTAACGGATAATAAATTTGTAAAACTCTTTTGATTAGGCAAAGATCTTTTTCGAAATTTAATTGAGTTAACGACACCTTTTATACGGGCTTCAACTAGAACTTTATCATTAAAAACTGTGGTAAAATCGGAGGTAAATTTTCCACTTTGAAGTTTCTCATTCTGCCTTTAACAAATTCAATGAGCATTTCTTTTGGAGTATGATTTATAGGTAAACATCTTGATTTTTCCAAATGCATTTTCCACATGAACCAAACAACACGAAAATAAAAATTGTAGGTAAATAGGTTTTTGACGCGTTGGAACAGACCTATTCCAACACGTCAAAAACCGTCCCATGAACGGTTCCGAAACCACATATTATGCAAATTGCTTGCGTTTATCATCGCCACTTTGTTGAGGGAAGAATAAGCCTAGAAATTTCTGGGCTTAGTTAAGCTTATCTTAATGAGACTAGGTTAGACTGGTGGAAACAAAATTATAATATAAGCGGCACTTAACGTTAAGTAAACTTAAATTTGCGTTGGTGGAAACGGCCATCAGTGAACGAATTTTGGTTTCTACGCACAAATTTTACGCTTTGCGCAGAATCGTGACGGTGCATTGTACGGTTTCTTGCTGTGTTGGAATAGACCTGATTAATGATTTGATTTTCAGTAAATCAATAAGCAAAGAATGAGGTTCCGTCCCAAAACACAAAACAAACTGATTTTCTTCTTTCTCATGTCATTCGTCCTTTTAACGCACTAAAATTGTGGCTAATTCTACATATTACTGTTGGCAACAACGCATTATGATTTGACAAGTTTTCTCTCATTCTATCATATTCCCATACTTTCGAGAATACCAACTTTGGCACCAAGAGAACGAGTGTGCGATGTGATATCTCACTTCTCTTAGGGGAACGTTCACTTCTACCAAATTCGAGAATCGACTACCTGGAGGCTATATCTCGTCGTTTTTTTTTTTTTTTTTTGGCGTAGAACCAGATCAAATCTGGTGGGATTTGTCAAGCATGTCATTGATAATACGAAATGTAGTGTGCAGACATTTTCCCGTGGTCTCGAACTTTTTATTCAACAAAAGTAAAAAAAATATATTTTTTCTACAAACGTCAAAAAAACATCACTTTGTCAACACTTGTCAAGATGGTAGAAATTCAATTTCTATGTTGCTAGGCAAATCTAGGAGATTAACACCTGTCGAGGTGGTAGAAATTTAATTTCTATGCTGCTTGGCGACCCCAGCGGCAGCAAAAGTACTTTTGGTGCCGCTGATGCGGCAGTAAAAGTACTTTTAGTGCCGCTCGTACTTTTACTGCCGCTCAACCATCCAGTTACCCCCGAGCTTACCAAATTCGTTTGGAGAAAAAATAGCGTGTTGCATACGGAGTAGAAGCACTTTTTTGTGCTTCAGCAGTATTGCAAGCCTCACTACGTTCGGCTCGCAAACCTACTGCTTCAGCACAAAAAAGTAAAGCTTCTACTCCTAATACAACAATATACTATTTTGAAAATAGTATGTGATTACAAATTTAGATTCTACGTAAAATTCTGAGCAGATTTCATGTGATATACCCTTTACCTAACTTCAACTGTTTTGGAAATATTAACAGTTAAAAATTGATTTTTCGCAACTTTGAGAGGCTGTAAAACCTTAGCGGTTGATTTTGGACGAAAACCGATTTTACATTCCTGTCTTGGATTTTTATAAACTATCATTTGACACCAACTTTGAATTTAATCCATGATCAAAAAATCCAGTTAAATTTAATCTCCGGTTAAATTCAAAGTTATTGTCAAATGATAGTTTATGAAAATCTAAGTTAGGAATGTGAAATCGGTTTTCCTCTAAAATTAACCGTTTAAGTTTCACAGCCTGTCAAAGTTGCAAAAAGTTAATTTTCAACTGTCAATATTTGCAAAACAGTTGAACTTAGGTATAGGGTATATTACATGAAATCTGCTCAGAATTTTACGTAGAATTAAAATGTGCAATCACATACAGAGTGTTCCA